AGGCTACGAACAACGCATCTGACATTACAGGAAACTCGATGGCGGTAGGGATGTAGTTTGTAGATTGGTCCGTCTTCTCCTCTTGGCGTGATGATGGCGACTTCTTGTTCGATCTCTTGTCATTTGGTGCTTTTCTCGTCTCCCCTTGCTCGCTGGATTTGTTGGATGCCGGGCGGGAAGTCGGTACTTACCTGGAAATTCCAACGGGAACGCTCTGACCTTGTGGGGTGCAATGRTGAGGCTGTTRGGCACTAAGATTYTCCTTGCTTCCCGCTTGGCTGCCGTTCTTGTTGGTCTCTCGCTCGGTCTGTCCTTCTTTTCCCCAATTAGAAGGTTTCTCTCACCACCCTCTACTCCGCTCCCTCCTAAGCTTGCTTTGTCTTTTCTTTTACTTAGGAGAGATACTTCCGCCTGATCCTCTACTTCTCGCCTTCCTCTCACATTTCCTTCTTTCTCCTTCCCTTGTCATTGTTTCCCTTGTTAGGCTTGGAGAGGCCACACCCGTGGGCGTGGCGCTACTTGGAAGAGTGAGTTTTCTCGCCCCAGGTGGTTCGTGTTACGCTGGTAGATACAAATTGGGGGCACGTGCGTCTGCGCGTGGTGTCGCACGCTCGCGCGTTGCCCGCGGCGAAAGAATGGCCGTGGGCAGTGCGTGCGGTGGCGCGCTATGGTGGGTGCGAGAATTAGTGGAGCTTTGCAGCGCTAACCGGTCACGGCGCTGGCGCCGCTTGGCCTATATTTCAAGTCCCGTTGTTTAGTTTATTTCTGCTTGTGTACACACTTCAGCATAGGCTAAGCTAGTTGTTCGCTGTCATGTAAGCATTACCAGCTCTCCTTTCTCTCTTCCATTTACTGAGGTGAAGGAATTTGATATTCATGGAATGGCTGTGATGTTCTTGTCTATGAATTGCACGCTTCAATGCTGAATGATAGAACTAGCGACTTCCTCACCCATCTTCTCGTTCACACCTGTCAATTATTGCTGATTAGAACCACCTCCTATGGGACTACTCTACCACTATGAAGCTCTCTCTCTCTCTCTCTCTCTCTCTCTCTCTCTCTCTCTCTCTCTCTCTCTCTCTCTCTCTCTCTCTCTCT